TGGGCAACGTCGGCCTCCGTGTTTGCTCAGCCGCCGGGTTCTGTCGGTGCCACAGGACTGCAGCGTCAATGGAGCTCCAGGCACTGTGACAGACAGGGCTGACTCCCCTCCCAGACCCGGGGTTGGGCTGGCTGTGCCAAATGGGGGAAGCAGGGGTGAGGCCCCAAGCAGTGTAGAAAGCCATCTGGCTATGAGGTCAGCCCACCCACCCAGGCCTCTGGAAAACCACGGACAGCCACTTCCTGGATGTGGCTTTCTGCCCTTCCCTCTCCATCAAAACCACACTCATCCAGGCTGGCCTCAGGGATAGTCCCTTTCCTGCGGGGAGGGCTGCATGCCAATACTGGTGTGGGCTGAGCCAAGGCAGGGGTGAGTGGCAAGACCAGGCTCCTCCAAGTCCTATGGTCAAGTCTGCCCGAGAAAATAACGCAGCCCGCCCCATCAAACTCCACAGATTTGGTGCTAGGTCCCCAGCAGCTGCCCCTGGCCCGTGTGCTGAGGCAAAGACAGGAAAAGCAGGAGCACCCAGGTAGGAGCGTGTGTGAGTCTGTGCATGTCCCGGTAGTTGTGTACTGTCCCTGTGTGCGCTTATGCAAACACCTGTGTGTAGAGGGGCCTGGAACCAGCTATGATTTGACCAACTCTCCATTTCCAGCTCTGGGAGACTCCTTCCTGCCTAGGAAACAAAACACCACTCTCATTATTCACAGGGGAGATGAGTCTCAGACAGGCTGAGGGCTGCCTAATGTCACCAGCTGGCAGGATTACAATCCAGCCCTTGCCTCTAGGGTGAGTTCTAAAGGCTCATGGAGTTCTTGGTCCCCAAATCTCCTCCCTAACCTGTCCACTGGTACCTGAAATACTCCCATTGAGAACAGGCAGCATCTTTTGCAGATTCATCCATTAAACTGGCTTCCTTTCTTGAGACAGGGACATTCTGTCCTCAATGTCCAAAGACCACTCTGTATGGTAGATGGCACCAGGAGCAGGAGCGCCCGTGGAGGAGGGTGGAGCAGGAGTGGGGTGGTGTCCTGCAGTCTGATGACTGCCTGCCCTTGGCGGGGCTGGCCAGCCTCTGCAGATGTGAGTGTGGGCAGTGGCGTGGCACCTCAGGCTTCCCCTGTATGCCCCAGCTACTCCTGTGTGACTGAAGCACATTACTCATTACAGGTGACTGTCAGGGAGCCTGTGTGTGTGAGAGACAGACAGAATGGGAACTGGGTACAGGGGGCCCTGCCAGTACCCCACCCCTGCTTCTTCCTCTCCAGTGAGTCCATTTTGTCACCTGTAACTGGGGACAATGATGCATCCCTTGGACCCCCCTCAAAGGAGAAAGGTGAAGATAGCATTGTTTACACACTGAAGCAGCTGCTCAGACACCACAGGGGCTGGGAGGAGTGGGAGGCAGCGTTAACAATGCAGCTGCTTCCGTGCCTGTGAATGGCCAGGCCCCGTGCCTGTGGATATAATTTCTTGAGTCCATAAAACCACCCACCCAGGTAGGTCTGAACATCCTCACTTCACAGATGAATAAACTGAGGCCAAAGCTGTTAGTCCTTCTGAGCCCCATGGCCTTGGCCCCTGCCTACCTCTCCGGCCAAGGTCTTTGTGTGACCCCCTCCCTCCCACGCCTCCCAGTGGGTTTCTTTCTGCCCTTAGATGTGCCACACTCTGGTGCCTGCATCAGCCCTGCCCTTTGCCCATGCTGTTCTCTTTGCTTAGAACCCTCCTTCACTTGCCTGGCACATGCTTGTCCTCTAGGTCCGGATTTAAATGACAATTCCAGAAACTCTTCGCGACCTCCTGGGCTGGGCAAAGGGGCCTCTCCTAGCTGCCCAGTGCCCAAACACCCCATCTGGTGCCTGTCCCAGGTCTCCCTCACCAGAGGGCTGGGACTGCGTGTTCATGGCTATGACCCCAGCACACAGCACAGACAGTAACAAATGCCCTGGTCTCAGTGTGATGGAGCAGGATTCAGACCCAGGAGTTTCTGATATTAAAGCATGTCTTGTTAAAACTTGGGGAGCTTTGGGATTGGAGGAGAGGCTGTGACATCAGTAGAGCAGCTTTCTGGAATGGAGAGTCCACCTGTGCTCCTCAAAGTTTGTGACTATACCTGCTATAGTAGCAGAAGGGTGTGCAGGTGGGTAGGGTACATCTATTATTTCTACTGACCCAGAGTCCATCTCACCTTCCTGAAAGCTCAAGTTTCCTTTGGGCAAGTGGCCCTCATCTGCATAGCCCAAAGAGTTTGGTTGGGTTGGAGTTCCCTCCCCACTTTCAGAGGTGGACAGGTGACACAGGTCTGGCCACTCGGGATACTCCCTTCCCCTTGGCTGAGCCTGTCCAATGGGAAGCCACCTTGGAACCCACGCTAGGACTACTGACAAAAAGGGATGCCCTACTGCCATGATGGCGGACCTGAATGACGGTAAGGTTCTGGGGCTCAGGAAAGTGTCTAACGCTTGGATCAGAGATGGGAATTACATCACAGATGCTTAAAAGAGCCTCAAAGCATCTACCATTGAGCTCATCTCTTAGCAGTACCCTTCAACCTGTTCCTCTTCCTGGGTCCCTATCTTGGTGACATCTCTATTGTCTACCAGAAACCAACACCATCATACCTCCTGCATTTAGCTCCTTCACATACTTCTTAATTGAACCATGCTCTGCCCTCAAGTATACCCTCCATGTTGTCTGCCAGAAGTATCTTTCAGGAAGGCAGCTCTGAAGGGCATTTCTCTACTCAAAAATCCCCAGAGGCTTTCAGTAGAGGCCAAACCCAGGTACCTTGAACTCAAATGCCCATAACAGCCAGGCAGGAAACATGAGCCAAGAATTATTTGTAGATAACATATGTGACAGTCTTTATTCCCATGAAGAGCTATATATACTTGGTCTCTCTCTCTCTTTGAAACACATCCTCTCTGCCTCTTTTGTTTTCTTGCTCTTAGTAAGATAGAAAATAGAGGTGAAAGTACAATAAGTGGCATCTGACCCTCAGCCTGTGTAAGAGAGGCCATCAGGGAGTGGTGGGGGCTGTGGTGAACTGAAGAGCCCATGCCCTTCCAATGGTGGGGTTACAGCCCGTGACTGGTGACTGCTATGTGAACATGCAGGTCTGACATTGACAGAGATTGTGATTTTCCAAAAGAAAGCAGAAATCAGGATTCTTATATCTCCCCATTTTAACAGGCAAATAATTCCAAGCTTTTAAAAAGTACCATGTGAGTCATTCTATCATATTGCTGGTGGGTGTCAAACTGGTCCAGTCTCTAAGGACAGAAATTTGAACATTAGCTACTAAAATTATAAGAGCAATACTTTTTAACTTGGCACTCCCACTTCTGGGTAGTCTTCCTGCAGACATATTTGCAGTGCGCAAAATGATGTGTTCAAGAAAATGTATTGCAGTATTGTTTGCAATACCAAAACATTTGAACTAATCTAAATGTCTATCTACAGGGTCTTGATTAAATAGATATATTTGTAAAGGAATATTATGCAGCTGTAAAAAAGAATGAGGTGGTTTCTTGGATATGATATCAATAGCACAAATGATAAAAGAAAAAATTGGACTTCATCAAAACTAAAAACTTTTGTACAACAGAGGACATTATGAAGAAAGTGAAAAGACAACCAAAAACTGGAAATACTTCTAACTCATGTATCCGATAAGGGACTTACATCCAGAATATACAAAGAACTCTTACAACTTAATAATAAAAAGGCAAATAACCCAATTAAAAATGGACAAAGGATTTGACTAGACATTGAACAGTCTATTCCAACTGGCCATTCATCTTCTTCCTCAAAGATGACAAATGACCAACAAACACATGAACAGATGTTCAACATCCTTAGCCATTATGGGGAAATGCAAAGCAAAACCACAATGCCATACCATTTCACGCCCCCTAGTATGGCTATAATTAAGGGGAAAAAAAAGGAAAATAACAAGTGTTGGTGAAGATGTGGAGGAATTGCTGATGAGACTGTATGTGACCCAGCAGTCCTACTCCTAGGTATATACCCAAGAGAAATGAAATTTGTATATAAGTGTTCACAACAGCATTATTCATAATAGTCAAGAGTAGAAACAACACAAATGTCCATCAACTGATGAATGGATAAATAAAATTGGTATATCCAAACAATGGAATATATTCAGACATAAAAAAGAAATGAAGTGCTGGTACATACTACACCGTGCATGAACCTTGAGGACGTTATGCTAAGTGAAATAAGCCAGACACAAAAGACTACATATTGCATGATTCCATTTATATGGAATGTCTAGAATAAGCACATGCAGAGACAGAAAGTAGTCGGTGGTTGCCAGGGGCTGAGGGGAGGAGGAATGAGTGACTGCTAATGGGCTTCTTTTCCAAGTGATGAAAATGTTCCAAAATTAGGTAGTGGTGATGGTTGCCCAACTCTGTGAACATACCAGAAAACACTACATTGTACACTATAAAAGAATAGTTTTACAGTATGTGAATTATATCTAAAAAAACCTGTTATTTAAAAAAAAAAAAGAGCAAGAGACCTCTCTAGTCATTGATATGAAATGATCTTCACAAAGGTGTATATAATATACCACCTTTTGTACATGAAAGGGGAAGAGTATTTGTTTATATATTTGTATTGCCTTTTTCTAGCAGCCACCTGAAGAAGAGACCAAAATTGTTCACTTAAATCCTTTTTGAACCATATGAATGTGTGACTTATTCAATAATTTTTCTTGAAGAAATGGTCAATTATGTCATATGCAACAGAGAGCTAAGTAAGAAAAGCACTAACACTGAAGAACGTCCACTGGATTTGACTATAATTAGATAACTCATGACTTTTCCAGGACAGTCAGGGCCTAGTGGGGGTAAAAGCAAAGTAACTCCTAATGGGTTGAAAAGTAAATGGGAATCAGGGAGTTTTACTGGGAATGTTCAACTGTCTGCAACTTATATACCCAACCTAGATGGAATAGTTATGGAGAAATATTTAAAGGATACACAATTTATTAGTCTATTCTAATATTTTACATTTTACCAGACAAGACCATCAGACAGCTGTGCAGTTGGTTCCCTGAAAAAGATGTTTAACACGTCCTGCCTTTGTATGTCCTCTGCTTCCACTGAGGTACACTGGAGAAGCCTGCATTGCACATATTTCAGAGTTAGGGTAGACTGTCTACTTTATTACCGAAAGGAAGGCCATCAGAGAAATATCTTCAGACCTCAGAGACAGAAAATGTCTCCTTTCATGAGTATGGTTCCTTTATTAATGCTCAATGGAAATTATGTAAGATAATTTGGCTTTTTGTTATGCTGTCAGGAAAATGAGAAACAAATTTATAGTTCAACCTTAACTCAGTAGGCCCATATGGTTGTTACATGTCTAAATATTAGGTATGTATTTGCCCTGGGGCTTACCTTATACTCCTAAATACATTTTTCCTGATGTTGATATTTTAAAAAATGCAGTATCTACTTTTCTATTTTAACGTACGAATCCTGATAAGCCTCCTAAAATTCAGTGTAAAAAAAGGTATCGAAAGAGTTAACAAAAACTGTTAGCACTAGATAGAAAAGAGAAGGGGCTTCTCGGGTGCTGGCAATACTCTGGGTTTTTTAAGTTTAGCTAAATGCTATACACAGGTGTACTCTGTGAAAATTTACTGAGCTGTACACTTATGATACATAGAACTTTCTGTACCTATGGCTTAGTAAAAAGTAAAAAACAAAAATGGAACAGTGAAGGATATACAAGAGTGTAGGCTTACCAAAATTCATTTCTGGTCTGGATCCAACCTCGCACCATTAGTTTGCAACCTAAGGAATAAACAGTCAATCTGGCACTCAGGCTCTATTGGGGTCCATCCTGAACTCCCCCTCTTCCATTAACAGGTCATTACTCAAGGCTAAGAAGAACCTGTGTCCCTCCATTTCTCAGCCTCCACACTTCTGCTCAGCGGCAGGGCCCTTCTTTCTCATCTTAATTCGTAGAAACCCCAGACATCTTTGTTGTCCCAACCCCCAAATCACTTCTTCCTTTCAGCCCTACCTCGAGCTCCCTGCTGAAAACCTTTCCTCCCAGCTCACAGTGCCCACCATGGCCACCTTTGCCTCCTCGGCACTAAGCCTCAGAGGGACGGTGCTCGATAACTGTTTGTTACATGAAGGAACGAATGAACGGGCTATCGAGTTCTGGAGTTCTGGGTGGGTCGGGGCACCTGGGTCCCAGTGAAGGCTCTGCCGACCAGCAGGCTCCGCGGAGGGGCAGAGGCTGGGCGGCCCAGTCCGCTGCCTGCCTTAACTTCACTGCAGCCCAAAGCGCGACAGCCGCTGGACACAGAAACGCGCAGAGAAAACGTGCCAGGCGGCCAGAAACCGCGAACCGAGGTCCAGGTTGGGCGGAAGCTGTGTGGAGAGCACAGCCCACCGGAAGTCAGTGGCGGCTTTAGGCTGGACGCTCTAGAATTCCGGAGGACCGGAATTTCTGTGGTTGGACTTGACAGGTCACACGCTACCGGAGATGGTACGTTCCCAGAGCTCCCAGGACCGAGAAAACGGGGGTCATAATACCCTGGGCGGTGAGGACTGATAAGGGAAGACAGGCCCAAAGGAGTGGGATATCGAGAGCCGGTCACCAAGGTAACAGTCGTAGGGATCTGAGCCGCTCCCGAGTGCCTGGCTATTCCCCAGGCTCGCCGGATAAGCTGCGATTGGTCGGAGGAAGTCCAGTCGAAGGATGGGACGCGCGCGCGCGTACATGCAAGGGCGTTGCCTTTCGTTCGCTCGGCGCCCGCGGCTGCCAGCGCGCATGCGTCAGGAGAGGGCGCCGGGCGGGAGCACACCCCTGCTAAGTGCACTGCACCCTCTGGGCGGCTCCCTCCAGAGAGCTGGACAGCGGCGCGCGCAAGGCGTGGCTTCCTCGGCTGGTGAGCTCGGATTGGGTACAGCAAGTAGAAGGGGTGGGAACCTACGCAGAGTAGCTCAGCGATTGGCCAGAGGGTGGAGGGAACGTGGTCTTGGGAGGCGGGGCGGCGGGGACGGGCAGGGCAGCGCAAGACGCTGAGGAGGTGGCGGTGTCTCTCGAGCAAGTCAGCGAGCGACCCTTGGAGACCCCCTCCTTTGGGGGCTGGAGGCCGGCGAACCTCGGGACCTCCAAACCCGTAAGAGGCGTGGGGGTGAGGCGCCATTCGGTGAGTGTGGCCCCGGGAAACCCGAGCGCCCCGCCACTCCCTTTCTTCCTGAACCGCGCCTCGCCTCCCCTCCCCCTCCTCGACCCCGACCTGGGCTCCCGACTCCCGCTGTGACTCCCGGTGTAGCGTGTCTGCTTCGTGCCAGCCTCTCTCTTTCGCCCCTGCCAGGCGTCCGTCAGTTTAGGGAACTTGGAAATTCCCTGGTCCTGCTCCCCAGCCCAAAGGGGGGACACTGAGGCCCACGGGGGTCCTCCCTCCCCCCTTCCCTCCTCATCGGCGTCTCCACGCAGACAGCATGGCCGAGCCCCTGAAGGAGGAAGACGGCGAGGACGGGTCTGGGGAGCCCCCCGGGCCGGTGAAGACAGAAGCCGCCCACACCGCTGCCTCTGTAGCAGCCAAGAACTTGGCCCTGCTTAAAGCTCGCTCCTTCGATGTGACCTTTGACGTGGGTGACGAGTACGAGATCATTGAGACCATAGGCAACGGGGCCTACGGGGTGGTGTCCTCCGCTCGCCGCCGCCTCACCGGTGAGCTCCCCGTATCATCGGCCGCCTGGTTCCCAGAGGGAGAGGGAAACCTGCCCTGTCCCAGCCAGCCAGGAAGTTAAGCTGGGTGTGAATTCCTGCTCCATTCAACAAATACTGACTAGGTGCCCTCTGCGTGCCAGGCTCCTGTTAGGCACGGATCTCTGAAACTCTGGCCTGGTGGTTTTGCCATCCCATCAGCCTACTTCCTCCTTAGAAAAATGATAGCCCTCTTTACAGCAGAGTAAAGAATCTGTCCTTGGTGTCTAAAAGAGAAATGGGTTCTGGAGCCAGAAACTGGCACATGGAATATGTGGTGAAATGGGTGACATCTGAGATGGAGAGAGTGTAGGGAGGAAGAATGAGCACAGGCATTAGAGTCTAGACTCTGCCACTGACCAGCTGTACAACCTCCAACAAGTTACTGAGCCAGGTTTCCTCATTTTTAACTTTGAGCTATTGGTACCTGCCTCATGGGGTAGTTGTGAAGGTAAAATTTGGTAACATATGTAAAGGGCTTAGCACAGGGCTTGACACATAATAGGTAACCAGTATGTGGTAGCTTTTGTTATTTGCATTCTAGAAAGGAGGTGTCGAAAGGGGCTACTCCAAGGTACCTGTGATATCTGCCTTTTCTCTGCTCCTCAGGCCAGCAGGTGGCCATCAAGAAGATCCCTAATGCTTTTGACGTGGTGACTAATGCCAAGCGGACCCTCAGGGAGCTAAAGATCCTCAAACACTTCAAGCATGACAACATCATTGCCATCAAGGACATCCTGAGACCCACTGTGCCCTATGGTGAATTCAAATCTGTGTAAGAAGTGGGATGGGAGAGGGAGGCAGAGCTGGGACATTTTCTGAAGACTGGGACCATATTGCTGAAGTTGTGGAAAGGCAACTGAATCTAATGCGAGGCAGGCTGGGAAGATTCCTACTAGGACCAGTGCTCCTTTAGGGTGTTGGCAGGGACAATTGTTATTCTTCAAGAAGAGTACAGATGATTTTACAATTTTATAGAATCTTAGTATATAGGATGTCAAATGTGGGACATTCATGCTACCATTGCATCCTCCTACTTTCATAGCAGACATCACTAATCGATCATAGAACACTGTTCTACAGACAGTGAACAAGCTTTTACAATTTTGATCATAGTACTTCAAGTATCCACTACCAAACAATGGAGATAGCCTCCAAATGAAACCTATTGGCCAGCCCTGGTATAGTCCAACCCCATCTTTTACCTGATGGGGAAACTAGATTTGGAGAGAAAAGTGATTTAACCAAGTTCATGGAAAAGTCATAGAGAATCTGGAACCTGGTGCTCTTCCTCCAAACCATGCTGTCAGCCCCTACAGGGTCCCTGGTAAAGCCATTACCTGTCTTGAGTTGGGAGGGTCTGGTGAGGATGGGGCTTGTTTCTAGAGTTGGCTGGGCTAGCCCACGCCTGTCTTCCCCACTGCCCCCTTCCAGCTATGTGGTCCTGGACCTGATGGAGAGTGACCTGCACCAGATCATCCACTCCTCACAGCCACTCACACTGGAGCATGTGCGCTATTTCCTGTACCAGTTGCTGCGGGGCCTTAAGTATATGCACTCGGCTCAGGTCATCCACCGTGACCTCAAGCCCTCCAACCTACTGGTGAATGAGAACTGTGAGCTCAAGATTGGTGACTTTGGTATGGCCCGTGGCCTGTGTACCTCACCTGCCGAGCACCAGTACTTCATGACTGAGTATGTGGCCACACGCTGGTACCGTGCCCCTGAGCTCATGCTCTCCCTTCATGAGTACACGCAGGCTATCGACCTCTGGTCCGTGGGGTGCATCTTCGGTGAGATGCTGGCCCGGCGTCAGCTCTTCCCAGGGAAAAACTATGTGCACCAACTACAGCTTATCATGATGGTGCTGGGTACCCCGTCACCAGCTGTGATTCAGGCTGTGGGGGCTGAGAGAGTGCGGGCCTATATCCAGAGCTTGCCACCACGCCAGCCTGTGCCCTGGGAGACAGTGTACCCAGATGCCGACCGCCAGGCCCTCTCACTGCTGGGCCGCATGCTGCGTTTCGAGCCCAGCGCCCGCATCTCAGCAGCTGCTGCCCTTCGCCACCCCTTCCTGGCCAAGTACCATGATCCTGATGATGAACCTGACTGTGCCCCGCCCTTTGACTTTGCCTTTGACCGGGAAGCCCTCACCCGGGAGCGTATTAAGGAGGCCATCGTGGCCGAGATTGAAGACTTCCATGCACGGCGCGAGGGTATCCGCCAACAGATCCGCTTCCAGCCTTCCCTGCAGCCTGTGGCTAGTGAGCCTGGCTGTCCAGATGTTGAGATGCCCAGTCCTTGGGCTCCCAGTGGGGACTGTGCCATGGAGTCACCCCCACCAGCCCCACCACCATGCCCTGGCCCTGCACCTGACACCATTGATCTGACCCTGCAGCCACCCCCACCAGCCAGTGAACCGGCCCCACCAAAGAGAGAGGGTGCCATCTCAGACAACACCAAGGCAGCCCTCAAAGCGGCCCTGCTCAAGTCCTTAAGAAGCCGGCTGAGAGGTGCCTTGTGGACACGTAGGGAGGGCACAGAGGGGGCTTGGACTTGGACAAGGCTGTAGGCTCTTAACTTCCCCCCACCCAACTTCCCTGCAGATGGCCCCAGTGCACCCCTGGAGGCTCCTGAGCCTAGAAAGCCTGTGACAGCCCAGGAGCGCCAGCGGGAACGGGAGGAGAAGCGTCGGCGTCGGCAAGAGCGAGCCAAGGAGCGGGAGAAGCGGCGGCAGGAGCGGGAGCGCAAGGAGCGGGGGGCCGGGGCCTCTGGGGGCCCCTCCACTGATCCCCTGGCCGGACTGGTGCTTAGTGACAATGACCGCAGCCTGTTGGAGCGCTGGACTCGAATGGCCCAGCCCCCTGCCCCTGCCCCAACACCACCCCCAGCCCAGCCCACCAGTCCTCCACCTGGCCCTGTAGCCCAGCCCACTGGCCCCCCACCGCAACCTACAGACTCCATCTCTGGCCCTGCACCCCAGCCTGCCTGCCCACCCCCTGGCCCTGCATCCCATGCCACTGGCCCTCCAGGGCCCATCTCTGTCCCTACTCCACTCCAGACTGCCACCTCCACCAGCCTCCTGGCCCCCCAGCCTCTTGTGCCACCCCCTGGGTTGCCTGACCCCAGCGCCTCAGGAGTCTTGTCTTACTTCCCATCTGGCCCACCGCCTCCAGAACCCGGCGGGGGGCCTCATCCTTCCACATCAGAGTCACCTGATGTCAACCTGGTGACCCAGCAGCTGTCCAAGTCGCAGGTGAGAGAGGTGTCCCAGGTAGTGGGGACACTTGGATCTGGACCCAAGGGAAACAGATTCAGGAAGTTGTTCTTCGTCCTGAAAACTGAGTAACAGATGGAGCTTCATCTGTCTGAACTTGTCCCCTTGCT